AAATTAATTAAATTAATTAATTAAATTAATTAATTAAATTAAATAAATAAAAAGTTAATTGTTTTGTACAAACAAACAAATATAAAAAGATTAATTGGAGACAGTAAAAAGACCTGCTGCAGTTGCTGCTGCTGCTGCTGCTGCAGTTGTTGCTGCTGCAATTGTTGCTGTTGCTGCAGCAGAAGCAGCAACTTGCTGCACCTGTTCATCTGTTCTCATTAGGGTTTAGGGTTTAGGGTTTAGGAGAATTAGGGTTTATTATTTATATAAAAAAGAAGTGTCTCCTTTTTATTTGCAGTGTATATACACCATAAAACAAATCAATTAATTACCTATATTTAATTAAATAAATATAAATAAATATAATTATATGTATTTATATTTATTTATATTTATATTTATATTTATGTATATTTATATTAATAAATATTAATTATATAAAATAAAATATAAATATAAATATAAATATAAATATAAATATAAATATAAATATAAATATAAATATAAATATAATTTATTTATTTATTTATTTATTTATTTATTTATTTATTTATATAAACAAACTACCATTACTATACACATTATTGACCTGGTGCTGCTGCTGCTTGTGGTGGTGGTGCTGCTGCTGGTGCTGGTGCTGCTGCTGCTGGCTGTGCTGGTGCTGCTGCTGCTGCTGGCTGTGCTGGTGCTGGTGCTGCTGCTGATTCTGCTGGTGCTGCTGTTGGTGCTGCTACTGTTGTTTCTGCTGGTGCTGCTGCTGCTGCTGCTGGTTTCTCTTCTTCCTTAGTAGGTTTTGCTGCTGCTGCTGCAGATTCTTCTTCTTCTCCTGCTGCTGCTGGTGCTGCTGCTGGTGCTGCTGCTGGTGCTGCTGCTGGTTTCTCAATTTGCTGCAGCATCTTCTCAATATCTTCTAGACTAGGTCCTGCTGCTGTTGATGTTGCTGCTGCTGTTGCTGCTGCTGCTCCCCCTCCTGCTGCTGCTGCTGCTGCTGCTGGTGTACCATATGCCTCCTCAAGACGTCTATAACACAACATTCATAAACCCTAATAAATAATTCTTCTTTTATCTACGAGGGTTTAGGGTTTTCCTAGGGTTTAGGGTTTAGGGTTTATGGATATGTTAGGGTTTACAGTATACGGATTTTTTGAGGGTTTAGTGCGTTTTTAGGGTTTAGGGTATTTTTTAGGGTTTAGGGTTTGAATTAGGGTTTAGGGTTTAGGGTTTACGTACAGGCAAGCAGCAATAATAGGTCCTCTACATAGAGTAGCATATATAAATTGTGCTGCATGCATTGGTGTATTTGTATCTTCCTCTATTTTTATATTTGTTCCTCCTTTTATCTTTTCTCCTTCCTCTGCCTCCTTCATCTTTACTGAATATAATTATATATACACACACAAAACCCTAAACCCTAAACCCTAAACCCTAAACCCTCAAATTGCCCTAAACCCTAAACCCTCAGAAAACAAAAACACTTTCTACAGCATTCAATCCAACACTTGAACAAACCCTATATCTCTCTATAGATACCTATCTAGATACGTAGCTAGCTGTCTAGCTAGCTGTCTAGCTAGCTAGCTAGCTAGCTACATATATATCTACATACCTAGCTAGCTGTCCACCTACCCATCTACCCACCTACCCAGCTAGCTAGCTAGCTACCTAGCTAGCTAGCTAGCTAGCCAGCTAGCTAGGTAATTAATAATAATAAATTACCTGGATAATGTTTGAATTGTTGTAGTTCTTGTCCTTGATGTATTAATGCATAATTATATTGATTAATAAGTTTATTATCTAAACAAAGAGAAGAAAATAATATATTTGTATAAAATAAATAATGACAAACATTTAGTGCTTCTTTTATTGGTACATTAAATATAATTAATGATGATACTCCTCCTTTTATTTCCTGTATATATACACAATACGTAAATACGTACATATATATTTATATTTATATTTATATTTATATTTATATTTATATTTATATTTATATATTTATATTTATATTTATATTTATATTTATATTTATATTTATATTTATATTTATATT